TACAGAATTACACTAAAAACTAGTTCCATTAGCCATTAGTTGGACCGAATATTTCAAAACTAACAACTAATAATAATGAATGCACTTAATAAACCAAAGATTGTATTTATGGGTTTTTCAACTATGGGCACTTTTATGTCCTTTGATCATATATCCAGAAATATATATCATTTCGTTCAAGTTTCTCTTTGTTTGTCAAACTAATAATAAAACCTACTTTAAAAAAATTACTAGCTTTCTATTAGATTTTTTCATATTATTCAACCTCCTTTTAGGTGTCAAAATCACTGTTTTCACTATGTCGCACACTCAGTTTTAAACTTCAACAATGAAAATAACATGTTAAAATATTATTTATCTGGTATCTATTAATGTATCATAATGAAGCACTGGTGAAATAATCTAAATATTTTATAGTTATTAATGTGAGACTATTATCAATATTATTTTTTATACAAAGTGAAGTTTCATAAACTAATTCCGAGAGGAGCACGTGATATGATTGTGCACCGCTGGCCACTCATCCGTAATCAGTAATAATCCAATCAGAATGATCCTACCCTAATATAAATGGATCACTTTCTCCTTATTGCATCTTCGTTTTGGAAGAATGCCCCCTTCCACCCCATCTCCTCCTTTTTCTCCCCTTTTAAAGGGGGAGCGATCGAGACCTACCTGATCTCCGATCTCCTGATATGCTTCTAGACTGGGCGGGAGCCCTGGGCTCATATATCTCCGAGCTCAGGGTTCTCTCCCGGGACAGCATGCCAAACCTGCTATAACTGCCAGGCATATCTAAGTGGAAACTCTTGAAGTATAGCTGTCGCACAGTATCAGTGTCAAAATATAGCTGTCGCCCAGTATCAGTGTCTTTCCACCACAGCACTGTAATGTCGGTTTAAGAAGTTTGTGTGAGATTATTTAGGTGGTTTCTATGAAAATGAACAGTGCCATCTTTGAACATGTTTAAGATGGAGTGAATTTACATTTTAATCAACAACACTTGAAGAAAAATCAAGATAAATATTGTTTGATAAGGAAAAACATTTATTCTACGTCATTTCCAAACATGCTGTACCTTCAAAGATGATTTTATGAACCAAACAGAATTAAGGTAAATAAGAGTGTTTTAAATACATGAAAGGCTAGTTTCAATTCAAGGCTAATCAGTGAAGCTATTTTTCATTTTTTCACAATAAACTGCTGAAATGTCATTTCCACCACTGTCATTTCCATCACCACACACATTTAAAAAACATATTTAAAAAGTTCTCATCACACCTTAAAAGTAAATTCACAATGTATAAGTTCAGGCTCTATTTAATATACAAATTCAGTTTATTTATTTTCTAATAAGCTCTTAACCAAATTAATATTCAGTTTTAGAGTGTGACAGGTGCACAATTTATTTCATTGACAAATGTATAATTATTATTTAAATATTGTGGAAAGATTGGTTAAACTAGATACAAAAATTATCTTAGACAGTGTTTGACTGCCTTAATTTATTTCATTTTGAAATAAGCTGTATATTGAGATGTGCTGGAATTGACATTTGTTCAGTTCACAATGGAAAAAAAATTGTCCTCTTACAGATCTTAAAACTAGACAAATTGTTTAAACTTATGAGGCTGTCACGTTAATTTTGAATACGTTTTTTTACTCAACATAACAAGGCTAAAAGTGCCCTTAGTTGAAGGATGGCCCATATATGTGTTACTGTTACTTATTACTATTAAATAAGAAATCGGTATTGCTTATTTTAACAAATGAGGGTTTATGGCCTAGTCCCATGCTGCAAAATTCACATTACAGTACATGATTTTACTCATTTTTATGTAAAACTGAGCAATGAGAGGAACAAATGCATACTGCTGAAAGAAATGACGCAATAATCCCTTTTATATTTCGATGAATGTTTCTTCAGAATGATCAGAAGGCAAAATCGAAATTGAAACTTAATTTTGATTCGTTGCACAGCCCTAGTAGCCATTCTCAGGATTGAGGATTGGTTTGTGAGTCTAAACTAGCTCCCGCTGCACCCCTAAACTGGTCGAAAAAGCTTGCGAGCGTCTGTGACCTTGATCTGTGGGGAATGCAAGCACAGTTGACAGTGCAATTTGAAAAGCCATGCCACTGCGTCAGCACCAGGTTTCCAACTGGAATCTGTGGGCAGGAGGCCCAGTCGCTCCGGAGCCCTGGTCATTCTGAGATCAGAGAAGACCAATAAATGACATCAACCCAACTAATTGAAAGGGAGAGTCTAATAGTCAACAGTTTTCAGCCTCTCTCATTGGCTAGTGTGCTGTATTATTAAAATAAGTATTGAACACATCTCTGTGTTTTTCATTAAGCATATTTATAAAGGTGCTGTTTACTTAAACTTTTCACCTGCTTTAGGTAACAATACAATAAAAACAAAGTACATTAGTTTAGAAAATAAGTTATGTGAAAATAAATGAAATGACACAAGGAAACTGTATTGAACACATGAAGAAAGGTAGGTAAAGAAAGGCATGGGAAGCCCAGACAGCAGCTGAAATCTCTCAGTAGTTGTTCAGCACCTGTCCCTCATCAGTCTTAATGAATATCAGCTGCTTCAGTCTCAATACCTACATTACCAGGTGATGAAGATGAAACCTGGATAAACATTTCAGAGTGGCCACACAGCCAAGGAAACTCTCAACTGGTTTCAGAAAAGAAAATAAAGCTGCTAGAGTGGCAAAGTTAATCAATTAAGATGCTTCCAAAAGAAAATAAGAAGTTGATAGATGAGACCCACAGAACAATCAACATTTTTCTACCCATTAAGAAGAAAAAAATCAGTTAAATACATTAAATACGTTAAATACAGTTAAATACATTCAGCACTTTCTCCTTGTGTCATTCTGTTATTACACACTACTAATTTATCTTTTTTTGGCACAATTTTGTCAACACTACCTTTAGATATAATCACCGGCCATTTTATTATGTACACCTTACTAGTACCAGGTTAGACCCCGTTTTGCCTGTAGATCTGCCTTAATCCTCCGTGGCATAGATTCAACAGGGTACTAGAAATATTCCTCAGATTTTAGTTCATATTGACATGCTCAAAAATGACATTGTTTCATTAATTTTACAACATTGCATGTACAAAGATCTGAAAGGGGTTTGATATCAGAACATATTACCTACCAATTAAAATTGCATTATTTCAATCAATCAATCAATCAATCAATCAATAAATCAATCAATCAGCCAGTAGTTTAAACTGGAGAAATTGCTGTTACTTTAGTCTTATTGCAGTCTTGTAAAGAATGCTTTGTGTTTTTCAGGGAAAACCTGTCCCAGTGGGAGCGCATTGTGCAAGGGGAGGACGTCTCTGCGTGGTCATCAACCGAGGAGGCTGAAGTGAGCGAAACATCAGACAGTGGACCAGTTAAAGTGGACAACTGAATCTGTGGCACCTTTCCCACAGCACCACCCACAACCTGCCAGAGACACTGGACTTCCTGTGGACAGTCCCACTTCCTGCAGAGACGGGAGGAAGTGCAGAGGGCAGGCGGACGAGGATACTTTCAGAAAAAAAATAAACAAAACATAATGTTACCTCAGCGGGTGATGGAGGCGCACACTCTAATGACATCAGGGCTCCCTTGTTGATGGCTGGGACTCAAGTCCGGTTCAGCAGAATGGGCGTCATTATTGGCAGTACTTTCCCTTAAGAGGTTGCTTTCTTTTAGGCTTTCTTTTTCAGTTTATTTCGTGGTCTTACGTTTTGAAGAGGCCTTAAAAACGAACCCGAGTTACGATCTGACTCGTAACCAGAAGACGGTTCGTCTAGTTTAATATGGTACATTTTATCCTGCTGTGGTCGAAAACGTTGTACGCGAAGCTACTTGAGTGGATTTCTTTTTTTAAAGATAGACACAAGGAATGTTTAGTCAAAGTTAAGGTGCATGAGGCACAAAAAAAACATCGTTCTGGTGGATGTTTTCTATCATATTTTGAGCAAAGCTGTTTTGCAGTACTTGAATGAAGAAATACAGCCTATTCTGAGTGGAGATGAAAACAAAAAATCCCCTGCAGCGCGTCCTTCTGAAGCAAAAGAGCTTTTGTGACGGTCTAAGTCTCGCTCTCAACCTTACTGGAGTCACACACAAGTCACGGCGTTCCTCGCTGAAATCTGCAGCATCTTCCAACCTGATATGAAGTTCAGCTTTAACCCATTGAAAGCCACTGGAGTCAGAACTCAATACGGCCTGATTCGTAATGTAATGCACTTTTTTTTTTCTTGCGTCGAACCACATACTGTAAATTTTGAAGGGATAGTTCACCCAAAACTGAATATTCATCCATTCATTCATTCATTCATTCATTTATTCATTTTCTTGTCGGCTTAGTCCCTTTATTAATCTGGTGTTGCCACAGCGGAATGAACCGCCAACTTATCCAGCAAGTTTTTACACAGAGGATGCCCTTCCAGCCGCAACCTATCTCTGGGAAACATCCACACACACACACACACACACACATACACTACAGACTATTCAGCCTACCCAATTCACCTGTACCGCATGTCTTTGGACTGTGGGGGAAACCGGAGCACCTGGAGGAAACCCACGCGAACGCAGGGAGAACATGCAAACTCCACACAGAAACGCCAACTGAGCCAAGGCTCGAACCAGCGACCCAGCAACCTTCTTGCTTTGAGGCGACAGCACTACCTACTGCGCCACTGCTTCGCCCCCCAAAACCGAATATTCTGTCATTACTTACGCTTCTGTTGAACATAAAATAAGATATTTTGAAGAAAGCTAAATACCTTCCAAAGAAAATTGACTTCCAAAGTTGTTATTTTCTAATATGGAAGTCAGTAGTCATAGCTTTTCATCTTTCTTCAATATATCTTCCCTTGTGTTCAACAACAAAGAAACCCAAATATATAAAGTCACCTTTTTGGCACAGCCATATCCCCCTGCAGCCCAACACCAGTTACTCACTGAAGCTAAGCAGAGCTGAGCCTGGTCAATACCTGGACCACATGAGAAAACTAGGTTGCTGTTGGTAGTGGTGTACGTGAGGCCAGCAGAGGGAGGTCAACCTGCAGTCTGTGTGAGTCTTCATGCCCCAGTATAGTGAAGGGACACTATCTGCTTGTTAAATGTGACGTCACGTGAAGCAGCTTCCAGGTCCAAGCAATATATCAAACTGTATGGGGAGACTCGTCAATAGTAGTAATGAACGTTAAAAAAAGCACTATAATACTTTCGAAAATAACAATTGCAATATACAGTTGAAGTCAGAATTATTAGCCCCTTTATTTTTTTCCCCTAATTTCTCATTTACGGAGAGCAGATTTCTTTAATACATTTCTAAACATATTAGTTTTAATTACTCATCTCTGATAACTGATTTATTTATCTTTGACATGATGACAGTCAATAATATTTGACTAGATATTTTTCAAGACACTTCTATACAGCTTAAAGTGACATTTAAAGCCTTAACTAGGTTAATTAAGGTTAACTAGGCAGGTTAGGGTAATTAGGCAATTTATTGTATAATGATGGTTTGTTCTGTAGACAGTCTGGGGAAAATTTAGCTTAAAGGGGCTAATAATTTTGACCTTCAAATGTTTTTTTTTTATTTTTATAAAAACTGCTTTTTATTCTAGCCGAAATAAAACAAATAAGACTTTTTCCAGAAGAAAAGATAATATCAGACATACTGTGAAAATGTCCTTACTCTGTTAAACATCATTTGGGAAATATTTAAAAAAGAAAAAAAAATTAAAGGGGGATAATAATTCTGACTTCAATTGTATATATCCATCAGGGGTGTCAAAATAAATTGTTTCTTCGGTGCACCGCGATGCAGATGGGGACAATTCGAAATCGGTTTAGTAATAGATCATAACCGATTATTACACACTGACGTCATATATCTCCTATGCGCGATGTAGCAGTAGAACACTATGGCGAAGGACGCGAGGGCGAGTAAATAAAACACTTTTAAAGGTTTAGTTATGCACAGTTCAACTGCTTGTGAGTTTGCTGAAAAGTTTTTCACTGACACTGAAGAAGGCAGAGCACACGAGCCGCTATTTCACTAGTGAAAAGCTGTAAATCCATCCCTGCCTCTCTCTCTCTCTCTGTTACTTTGGACATTTGACCCGCTGGTGTGTTCGTGTGATAACTTTTCCTCTCCTCTTGGCTGTTAAAGCAATACTTGTGCATCCTGACATGAGCATCCCTGAGGTGCGAGTTTTCTTCACCGCATCTATTACGGATTACGTGTGATAACCGCATATTATGCGCATATAGATTGTAACCGTGGCTGTTCTTTCCGCATCACTCATCGGTGAACAGTGCTTTCATTTCTAAAGCCGATCGCAACCCTTTCTGTTGAGCAGGTGAAGACAATGGCCAATAACAGGGGTGTAAGACCTCGCTTGACAGTGCTCAAAGCAAACAAGATGATATTTACATTAGTTTTGTTTGATGCATTCAGAAAGTGTTTTCTTTGAGCCGGTCAAATTAAAGGTACAGTTCATATATCTGACTCCTTGTATTAAAGGACAAAATTGTATTACAAATAATATATAAATATTAATATATTTATAGATTTAAAAAAATTTTTGTAAAATGATTGTGTTGTGAAGAAAAAATCTAATTATGTATGGAAAGCATTGTCAATGCTCTGAGATGTACCGAGATATCAAATTAAGCCGAATCGATGGCATGATAATCGTAACCGAACCATTAGACCAGTGTAGGTTCATACCTCTAATATCCATGCCTAATATTCCATGGCCAGAAAATTATTAATTTTTCATATATTGTTAAAATTTTGGCATTTGTGATGTCCAGAAACCGATGTATACGGCTATGATTTGATAAAAAAATTCTCTTTAATGTGTGATGTAACTTAAAAGTGTCCATGAACGAATATTTTCTCAATTCAAATGAGTAGCGGCTTGGACCAGGAAACTGTATTCCATACTTATGACTTACCATGACTTAACAAGCAGATACTGTCAGCGCCGTCTTTCGGATGAGACGTTAAACCGAGGTCCTGACTCTCTGTGGTCATTAAAAAATCCCATAGTACTTCTCTTAAAAGTGCAGGGGTATAACCTCGGTGTCCTGGCCAAATCCCTCTATCGGCCCTTACCAATCATGGCCTTCCAATCATCCCCATTCACCGATATGGCTGTATCACTGTCTCTCCACTCTACCTGTAGATCTAAGTGTATGCTGCACACTGCTGGTGGTGTGAAGAGACCCTCCCGCTCATGATTTTGAAGCGCTTTGGGTGTATGGCCATACACTATAAATGCGCTATATAAATATACAATACATTACATTAGGGCGGGTAAATTGCAAATTAAAATTTTTGGGTGAACTATCCCTTTAAACTCAAAAACCTTTTAGAGTGCCCACATTTACGCATCAGAACACAGATAGGCTGTTCAGAAAGAGAGGTCTTCAAAAAATGACCCTGGTACAACTAGAGAACTATTTTAAAAAGTCTTTAAAATGGCCTTTTTACAGTAAGAAAGCTGTATAAAGTGTTACTGAAATACAGTTTCAATGCCGAAATAACAGACAAACTGCAGCATGATTTTTTTTCATGATTTTTAGATGACGTGGCCATTTTTCTAATACACTTCAGGTCATCAAAATCAGTTTTAAAATTAATATTTATTATAAAATTAGTTTAAAAAAATGAGTGGATCAATATGCAAATAGAACTGTTTTTAATTACGAAATTTCCTCAAATGATAACTTTTTTTATAATTCAACCCAATCTGTAACTGACACACAAAATAATGATAAAATGACTGCATTTATAGAGTAAATATATAGAGTGCATATATACACTATGCCACACCTTAAAAACAACAGCAGGAGATTGATCAATTCACCAACAATAAATAAATAAATAATAATAATAAAATCGAAAACATCTACAGCAAGTGTCTCAAACTCGATTCCTGGAGGGCCGCAGCTCTGCATAGTTTAGCTCCAACCAGCTCCAACTCACACCTGCTCAATCGTCTCTAGTAGTGTTGAACACCTTGATTAGCTACATCAGCTGTGTTTAATTAGGGTTGGAGCAAATCTGTGCAGATCTGCGGCCCTCCAGGACTTGAGTTGAGACCTATGATCTACAGTATGAGAGTTCTGCATGTTTGAAATATTCTATTATGGAATTCGATAGAAATCCTAAAAAAACATTGCTGCAGTACTTACAATAAAACACAGAGATGAAAATTTTCCAGTGTTCATGCTGTGGATTAAGCTTTATAACCGTAATTCCCAAATGATTCACAGGCTTTAAGATTTGATGTCTTGTTTACACAAAATCAACAGCAGTTTTCCAGTTTTACCACTCTAGAAGCACCTTCTGTTGAATATCATCCATTAAAGTTTTTTTTTTTTTTTTTTTTCTGAGAGAGAGATAGTAACAGTAAACAAGGGACTGGAGCGTGGTAAATGGCCAACTAAATATGCATCTGACTTGCATATTTTTTAATTATTTAATCTTCACCATAATTTGTCCAAAATCAAATACAGTTTAATACAGGCAAAATGATCAGCCCTCCTCTTGTGAAACTACTTTTTTTTTTTTTTTTTTTTTACATTTCCAAAGTGCTGTCTAACAGAGAGATTTTATTTCCAACACATTTTAAAACATAATTGTTTTAATAACTAATGTCTAGTTTTATTTTTGTTCTATTTTCCAGGATACTAGTATTTAGTTTAAAGTCACCATGAAATCAAAAGTTACTCTTCTTATCTGTATGTGTATAGTAGTTCTTTACATAAATAATATCTGTGCTCTTCATTCTTTTGTAAAAATTCATAACCTTTAATCAAAAACCATAACTTTCCCTCTTCCTCAAAATGACTTTTCTTTACATCCTGGTAATTCCTGCAGTTACTTTAGGACTGAACTATCAGTCCTTTAGGATGGGGATATCAGTCCTTTAGGATGGGGATATCAGTAATTTAGGATGGAGATATCAGTAATTTAGGATGGAGATA